CCTATATTTACATGTTTTATTCTTTTAGGGGGAGCTAAGGAGAAATTTAGGGTATACATGTTAACTTAAACAATAATTATTTTGTCATCATAAAAAAAGGAGAGATTGTTGAGATTGTTGCAACTTAGTTTTTTTATTGTTGAGATTCGTGCAATATATATGTTTTTTATGATTCCAAATATTATTGTTTTAATTATAATTTCTCTTAACATATTTTGGATGTATTGTTTTGTTATTTGTCTATACTAACATTTCAGAAAAATCATATTCTAGATTATTGAAGACTTCAAATCAGATCAAATTAGGGTTTATTATAAATGAAGTATGTATTTTTTATTTTATTGAGTCTGAGAGAGTATGATTTTAATTGAGTAACTGAGCACACACACATTGGGGGAGTATTTAAAATTTATAATTATTAAACTGATCGTACTATACAAAATCATTTCGTATGGGATAATTTGTTCATTTATTTTCCCCTATGAGTAGTCAAACGAACATCATGTAGAAAATTTTTCTAAGTACGAATAGTACTGTACGAAGGAAGGTATAGACACCGTCCATAGTACGAATTGGATGGGTCCCATTTCGTCTTGACGATTCAAAATTTTTTTGAACTGATCGTACTTTACGATGTCATGTTCGTACAGACACCGTCCAGAGTACGAATTGGACGGGTCCCTTTTTCGTCCAGACGAATTTAAAGTTTTTCTGAAGTGATCGTACTGTACAATTTCGTGTTTGTACAGACGACGTCCAGAGTACGAATTGGACAGGTCCTATTTCATCCCGACGAATTCAAAGTTTTTCTGAACTAATCGTATTGTAAGCTGTCGTGTCGTACAGACGCCATCCAGAGTACGAATTTCGTCCCAACGAATTCAAAGTTTTTCTGAACTGAACGTACTGTATGAAGTCGTGTTCATACATATGCCATCCATAGTACGAATTGGATGGGTCCCTTTTCGTCCCAACGAAGTCGAAAAATTTTCTAATTGTTCGTACTGGATGATCATCTAGTATGAAATCATTTCGTACAAATTCACAAAAGGTTCACATGCAATAATTTCTAAACTATTCATACGTACAAATATACGATCGTAAACGCTCAAAATGGAAAATTTCAATTTTCTGGATTGTTTTTCGTGTCTTTCATATAAAGGTCCTTAAAAATTTACATGAAAAAGAGTTGTTCTTCGTGATTTTTCAAGGGCAAGTGAAAGATTAAATGTGGGAGAGTGTTTGAGAAAGATTTCTTGCAAGTGGAGTATGAAGAGTTCACAAGGTTATTCAAAAGTAAGGATCTCTTTCTCTTTTTTGTTACAATTCTTCTTTTCTTCTTTCTAGTTGTTCATGAGAAGATCATTGAAGAAAATTCGATACTCTGCAGACAATTGAAGAGTGTGCAAGAACGACGGTACTCTGCCGACACTTGGAGGGTGTGAAAAGACAATAGTTTTCTGCCGACAATTGGAGAATATGAACAGATGACGGTTCTCTGCTGACACTTGGAGGGTGTGAAAGGACGACGATTCTCTGCCGCACTGAGGATTGGTGGAAGAGAGGATTTGTAAAGGCTTCTCCGCCTTGCTGTGGGAGTAAAAGGAGAGTCACTTTGCCAATAATGCAATACTTGAAGAGGAAGTTTTAAGGGAGTGGATGTAGGTCGTATTTGAACGAACCACTATAAATCTTTGTGTCATTTTAATTTCCGCATTTTCTATTTTCCGCACTTTGGTATTTGTGGTTGAAAAGCTTATTTCAAAAGGATAATCAAAGTTGAAAAATTGTTAATTTGGTTTTCTATTAAAAATTCAATATAATTTTTTAAATAACTAATTCACCCCTTCCCCCCCCCCCCTTCCCCCCCCCCCCCTCTTGGTTAGTCTTGAGATAATTGCTTACGTTTAATAACCTATACAGAATCAACATTAATTAGTTGTCCCTGATAACTCTTAATCAATGTACTTCTTATAACTTCCCATTAATCACATGAATCAATCGTCTTGACTCCTTATAACTCCTAATCAATCTTCACCTCCTTGTGACTCTAAATTGATGAATTACATGGATCAGTTGGATATCACGTGGATTTATCATATTATATATATGATATCATTTAATACTTCATTTAAAATATAATAAAATCATATCAAATCATTCAGAGTGATCACAGCCATAGCATATTCAAACTTGTCGGTGAAGGTTATGAAATCATGAGATATTATATTTTTGACAAATTTATGAGAGATAAAGTCAGTAGAAATCAAAATCATTAAAAATAGAAATAAGAGATTAATCACTTACAATTGATGGAATAAAATCAGTAATAGAAATAGTTGACAAATATGATCCAGAGACCTTTCGCTCTATCTCTCTTCGTCCCCTCTTTTAATTTTTCCTAGCCAAGTGACCAAGTGAGGTAGTCAGTGGGGTAAGGCAGAAATATTTATAAATATATATACATAAAAATTGTTCATGGTCTGGAGCCGTAGTGCTCATCAGATCAGCGCCAAAGCGCTCTACTTCATAATTTTTATGTTTTTCAAATAAATTTATTTCACATATTTGCGTTATTACAACATTAATATAAATTCTCAAAAAATTCATCGATTTCCAAGATATTTTGATAGGTAAAATGAGGGCAAGAACCCAACCAAGTTAGATTCAATCCACAGTTCACCAAGGACCCTTATTAGGGTTTTAAAAAGATTTTTAGTGGGGAGACAGATAGAAAATGAGTGTGGGTCTGATGGCATAATTATAACTGTAAGTGTTCTACAACGAAGGAATTTTTTTTAAAGATACCAGGAATTTACGACTCAAAAATAGCAAGGTTGAAGAGATCACAATATCTCTTTAAATTTGAGGTTGAGCTTCAAGCCCTCAACTTGGTAGAAACTCCATAGTTTGCAGCACAACCAAAAACTCATTTTTCCTCTTCCATCAATTTTTAAATAGTTTTACAATTTTGATTTAGGGGGGGGGGGGGGGGGGGCGGGCGTATGTTGATTACTGGGTCGTCGTTCGTAGTTTAAGAACTGGTTATATTCACTTTATTATTACAATGATCTATTCCTTTATAATATTTATCATATAAATATAAAAGTTTACACTATAATTAAGTGCTTTGCTCTTTATCCTAGGTGTTTGCATATTCTTAGCTTTCTTCTTGCTTATCATTCTAAGGATTGATCAATCTCCTTTTTTATGGAAATCTTTGGTGATTTGGGATTTGGGGTGCTGCATCAATGACTAAGGGACCAGAGGTACAGAGGAGAAAAGTTGTTTAAGCTCCATGTTTTCTCCAAGCGATTAAGCTAAATTCTTCGTTCATCTCCTTACGCCTAGATGGGTTAGTACAGATGATTGTTGGTCGTGTTTTCTAGCAGATCTATTCATTTACTGGTAGCAATCCATGATGTTGGTTAGTACTTTCCCATATACTTTTGCTCTTTTTCATTTATTCTAAAACATTTTTCACTATTTTATTATCTTATATTTTAGGTCTTCCATAGATAACCTTGAAATGTGTATTCCCAGATGCTATTTCGCTTGTTTATTTGTTGGGTTTTTTTATTTGGATTCATCTTGTTTCTTGAATTGGGTGTTTGTTATTTGCGTTCTGTTATGTTCTATTATGCTCGATTTGAATTGAGTTTGCATTTCCTATTTCCTATAAATGAAGCTGATGAAATATGATTGTACAGTTCACTTAACTAGGGTTGAATGACTGTAGGTCAGTAGCATTGGGCCTTCCAGGTGGAATTTATTCAACTTACAAGTTGATGTATTGCTTGATCCTGAGAGCTCTAATTTATTATCCCTAATTTAAAATTTGAAATAAAATCTATACAATACTGCACTAATCATCCATCAAGGGCATCTCCAACTAAAAAATCTATTTTCCACTTCAAAAATATAGTAACAATCATATCAAACAGTACTTCATATCCAACTAAACTCCATTTTCTAATAACAGAAAAGAATATCCTGTGTATATTCTTTTTCATCGCTACTTTTATATTTTTTTTTTCATCTCGCTAAAAAAATGGATTTCAGAACAGTGTTATGCCACATTCTATTCACAATCAAAATAAAATGCAAAATTGCATTTTCATTTGTTGTTCAGGCAGACACTCGCCGGAGCTCCAAACAGACGAATGATGCTCAGGTTGGAGATTACCTAAATATCGGTTTCCTAGTTTACTATAGCTGACACATGTAGCGATGAACTTTCACATGAGTAACATGATGCTCTTTCCCTACTGTACTGGCAAAAATATACAAACCCATAGCTCAACATTACTTCAACTTTGCACATGATGAGTTGGGCTGAGAAAAGCTAATGGGGTGAGGCGTTGTGACAACTTCGACTAATTTAGAGATATATGGAGTTGAACTCACGAATGAAAGTCTTTGAACCCCAACAATAAATGTGTAGCAATGGGTACTAATGGATCATACTTTGAAACCAAAAGAGCTCATCAAACCAATAAAAATATTAGTCACAACAACAATAAAAACAACAACATCAAACCTTTATTCCACTACGTGGGGTCAGCTACATGAATCCTTTTTTTCCATTGTGTCTTGTTAAGAGTCAAATTTTCATTTAAATCTAATAAAAAAATTATTTCTAATATTTTCTAACTAAGTCTTTTTAGTTCTACCTATCTTTCTTAATATAAGCTAAATCTAATACATCTACTTTCCTAACCGGGTCATCGGAAGGCCGACATTTTATGTGACCAAACCATCTAAGACGACTCTCTCTAATCTTACCTTCCACTGGAGATACTCCAACCTAAGAAAATTATCTACCTCTTAAAAAAACATGCATAATGCTAAATCATTGCAAAAAAAAATTATTGTTTAATTATATCATCATCTTAATTCGCAATCTATAGCCATCATGTTCTTGTTAATGACAAAAATCTCTTACCCAAATTTCGCTAGGACATCAGAAAAGTAAAGAACCAAAACTTGTGTAACGAGTATGAGAACAACTACTCCAAAAGTGATATTCATTGCCAGATGAATCAAAGTAGAAAGATAGTTCAATGGTTTACAGTACAGAAATAAGCAAACAGTTGTTGTAGTACTTAAGACACAAAAGAGCACAATTGAAATGAGAAGAATCTCACAGTTTTTCAAACATTTTTTATGACAACTTGGCAGTAGTTGGCTTATAATCGATGACAAGAATCTTGTCCAAATGTTGCAAGAACATGTTTGCAAACTCTACATGAACAGGGTGTGAGACGTACTCTGCAATGCCTTCAGTGCTTTCGAATGTCGACACAAAGACATGAGTGAAGCCCTGGTGCAAGTTCTCTATGCTTACATCTGTTCCCCTATAGTTTTAAGAAGCATATATTTTTATTTTTTAATAATGAATTATGTTCTTCTAAAATCAATGCATTGATTTTTATGGTTCTTTTTATGCATTGAATAATGTTAATATAAGTACTAGATCTTTCTTGAAAGCTATCTCAGTTGATTTTCTTTTCCTCATATAAGTAATCCTTATATTGATACGAATTTTACTAACTAGTCATATTTTAAGCCCCAATGATTTATTATGAAATATATGCAAGAGTTAGTATTTAAAGTAAATACACTATGAGAAGAATGTAAAGAAAATATTGAATTGGAATGAACGCGTGTGCATCTTGACATATGGAATTCACCGCTTATGATAGTAGTTGGGGACGCTAATATCCATTTGTGTTGATGATTGTTACCTTCCACCTCATAAAGTAATAGAAATAAGATCCATGCCGTGTTGTGCTAGTAGGGGATATATTAGTCAGGGGTGAGTTGGTGCATTTTCACTTCCGATAGTAACGAAGCTGACCAACGCCCAATTGTGCTGACAAGGAACGTATTGGCCTAGGATGAGCTCGGTTATATTTAGCCAATACTCATGAGATGAATGTTTTAGTAAATAAAAAAGTATAAGTTATAGGCAAGACAAATGGTATGATTTTATCAATGTATACCACTTTAGCTATTAAGGAAAAATTTATGCTCATGAATGTTATCAAAATGATAAGCATAGTTTATGTTTTCATCACAGTTTAAAATAATGACTATCATACATGTTTTTCGCTTTTTAATTTAAGTTACAATGATTTAAAACTATAATTGACCAACTGTGTTATATTGATAACTCACTATTATATTTAATCAGTATCTTAGGACAAGATTTCAAGAATTAAATGATTGGGAAAAGGGAATCTATGTATCTTAGACATTGAGCTACAATTAACATGTATTTAAAATTTTTTTAATGTTAAAATAATTATAATAGATTTGTTGTTATTTTAAAACAAAATGAATTCTATGATTTGTGGCCCTTTTGATATAGTGGAAGTTATCATCATATGAAATGCATGGACAATTATTTTGACATTATTTAATATTAAAAAAATAATATTTTAAAACTTCATTAGTCTATTTGCTCCCGCTTTGCTATTCCAAGCTATCGGTCCGGGTCGTGATATTATTCTTATTTACTTGATTGGGGAAAATGATCTTGCCCTTGTTGATTCCATAAGCAATAGAAATTATTTTTATCAATTAGAGGTGCTCTTGCCATGATAAGAAGTGGATTGCACTTGTCTTTGAAGGAAGGTGTATTTGTGATTGTTTATCCGCTTTCCCCAAGAAAGGGAGGAGATCTAGCTGTAACTAATGGAATCTTGAGCAACAGAGTCCTTAGGTGTGTAAGTAGGCTAGCTGAGTGCTAAATCACTTGAATACTTGTACATAAATTATTTTTAGTGTAGCTTATTTTAATTTCTCATCTAATTATTACTGTGGAAAATTTTATATTACATGCTCTTGTGCTTATGTGTAATGTATATTAATTTTGTTCTAAGTTTCATACTCACACATTGCACACATATCATTAGGTCACCGTTGTTTTTTAAGATTAAATTCATAAGCTTCTATGATGAAATTAATTTATGCCAATGTGCTCAATAATTCTATCACTTGAATCTTCAGATTAACCCTATACTCAAGATTATTGTATTTATGTGTGGCTAAACTTGAAGTTTTCCAAAGTTGATTATAAATTGGGCCTGTATTTTGGAGTGAGATATCATATTTATTGTGTATGGTATTTAATCACTCACATATTTGGCATAACACATCTTAAATTCCTTCTCACTTACACTTGTCCACTTAAGTGTTTTTAAAATTTTAATTTGATTATTATTTTTCTTTCACAAGATTGATTGTGAGAACTTTGAATTGGGAAGAGTTTTGAAAGACATTTGGTCGTAATAATGCATAAACAATTTATTATTCCTCCCTCCCCCTATCCAGTGTAACTATACTCTTCATGCGGGGCTTTTTTTTCTTTCTTTCTTTAGCAACTTGTAAATGAAGCAAGGTGGGTGAATAATTAAGATGAAATTTCCTTTGATCCATGCAGGCACCATAAGGAAGTAACTTTCATTTGAGAAGCTAATTATGAGGTCTATTTACCACCCTTTAGAGAAGCATATCTCATTGCTTTTATGCATATACTAGAATTTAGAGACTCCATTGTAGGGTACTTCAGAGAAAATTAAGGCATCTATTTGTGGTAAGATCGATTGCACTTGAATTTGACGACTACTGTCCTTTTGGACAATTAGTTTGCAAAAGAATGTGACCTCTTGGTAACAGATCGATTCCATTCATATTCTGAAGAAAAAAAACCATGGACAAGCAACAAAATCTTACTTTCTTTATTATTCATGATATTTTACAATGATTTTGGGTACGAGTCGAGTTCAATCTTGTTATGAAGTGTCGTGTAAGCAAACATTTTGTTCTAACAGATTCCTTAAGTAGCTACCCTGGCATCAAAATTAAAAAAAAAAAAAACAGAAAACAAGTTCAGGATCCGTGAAATAGCAGGACTCATCTAATCATCAAATAGAAAACAAATACGAAAAAGAAAAGTAGAAATCCACAATTTAAAAAAAAAATGAAATTTGAGGGGATTAGAACGAGTAGAAAGGATGGGTGAATTAGTACCAATGGAAATCCTTCATGGGTTCGATGAGAGAGACGAGGCCGGCGTAGCCATTGATGATCTCCTCCACCTTCTCCGGCGTCAAATCCTCCTTGAACTTAGCAAGAACTACGTGTTTCACAGCCTCCGTCTCTGCCATCTCACCTGCAATCTAGATCTCAGACTCCCTGGGCTTTACAAGCAAGGTCGCAGGCGCAAATACTGTCACCGTCGGTGTGGTTACCAAAGAGGAACGGATTGGAGAACTGTCCATTGATGCCTGCCGGAAATTTTTTAAAAGAACGTAGGAAAATTTCAGACGGCAGCTTTTTGAAAGGAAAAAAAATTATTTTTTAGTTTTTTTTTTTTTTAATATTTGGGCCAATTAAGATAGATTCACTAGGTAAGACTTAAACTCAAGATCTCTTAATTTCTAACCCAAGCTCCCAAATAATAGATCAAAATGAGCTATATAAAACAAAAATTCTATCACGTTAATTATATAGTTTGTCAGCTTGTTCAAAACAAAAAAAAAATGCACGCTTCAACTGCATCTTCATAGCTCTACCAAGTCATTGAGTTCATTCGACAATGGAGAAATCCATCAGTGACTATATATCGATTTGAGCACTCGAGCCTGAGTACAAATGCTTGAGCCAAGCACGGGCTCATTTCTGTGCTAGACTGTAGCTCAAGCTCGAGTTCGAGTTGTTAATTTAGTGACGAGTCGAGCTCGAATTTGCCCTGACTAGAACTCGACTCGAGTTATGTTACACTAGATCTCTAGCCTTATTGCCCAGTTTTTTTAAATTAGTATTATAATAAAAAGAAAAATATTTATTATTTAAAATTAAATTTTAATCTAATTTACTTTAAAGTAGAAATAATTAAAATAAGTCTTCTAATATATATATAATGCATGTCGTATGTAGGTAGA